GCATCCTTCGGAGGACCCGGCCTTCGCGGTCTACGTGGGCCGGGTCCCTCGAAGACCGAGAAGGCCGGAAGTGCGAGGCTGTGAAATGTGACAGTCTAGCCTTCTGATTTGCGTCACCGCTGTCTCAGTAGAGTTTAATAAACTCGTCCGTCTGCTCGTTGCTATCTAAAATATAACAGGACACTGGAGTAAACTCTCGACCGTCTCACACTTCTGTTTAATCAGTTTTCTGTTTAACGTTTATTCAGCTGTGTGAAAATCCCGGAGGAACCCACCCGATGGATTTATAAAGTTTTATTTAATCTAATAACTTTGAACTCAGCCAAACCGATTTACTCCGGAACAAATAAAACACCGAAAAAAGCCAAACAATTACATTTTTAAGTTATCCGAGTGACTTATATATCATGTTTAACCTGAGTAGCGAAAGACAGCGGGGGTCTGAAAACAATGAAGCCGGGAGTCCGCTGCTCTCGCCGGCTCGAGTGACCTTTGAACCCCCCGGCTTGCTATCAAGCGGGTGGGTAACAGACGTCTCCGAAAACGTCGTCACACTTTTGCAAATATGCGATGTCTTAATAAATGTGTGGTGTCTTAATAAACCAAGTAGATATTTGTAATTTACACAGCTACTTTCTCACCTGAAAATATGTTAAAAGTCTATTTTGTGACCCAGAAAGATTAATAAGAGTAATATTAAAACTTAGTGGCCGCCATTGTTGGAAACTGGAGTTTGGCTGGGCCGCGCTATGAATTCTCGGATATGGTGGGCCACGAAGGACACACCCGACCCATCCTTCAGTGAAGGACGCATTTCTCAGCCGCATTTAAACGAGTCAACGAATTGGGACAGCCTTCTCCGCCTGGCTGTGATGTAATCGGCCTTCGAACGCGGCCTCCGGAGGATGCAGCCGACGTTTTGGGACACAGCTTTAGTCTCGTTTCATTTTTGCTGGACTTCATTTAACTCACGACTAAATAAAAAAATTCACTTTAATAAAAATATTAAAATAAATCAGATTCTGAGACCTTCGGAGCCTCCAGCTCAGCGTCTTCATGTTCATCTCCCGTCGCTTCCGGGGCTTCACGCAGGAAGTCCACAAAGCAGCTGTTCCACTGAGCATGCTCAGTCAGAGCTCTCCCATGATCCTCCACTGTGACCTGAGGGAGAGGAGCGTTAGATACAGTACAGAAGATTTACTCACTGCTGTTT